TCCCTGAGGTTTCTCCCATTTTTCCCTTTAAACTGTGGGTTTTCTCCGGAAGTTTTTCCTTGTACGATGTGAGGGTCTAAGGACAGAGGGTGTCGTATTGTCATACTGATATTCTGTACAAACTGTGAAGTCCACTGAGACAAATGTAACATTTGTGATATTGGGCTATATAAATAAACATTGATTGATTGATTGATTGATTGATGTGAGTGTGGAGTGACCATATACAACGTTAGCTTAGCCTGACGACCCAATCTCCATTCAGAAAACAAGAATTAAAAAAGGTTTTTCGCCCGCCGTCTTGTCTGCAGACTTGTCAAGCATTAATTCATGTAGTTTTTACTAACCGGTATCAGTATGTTGTTACGTCGGCATCATTTAGAAACGTGTATTACAATTTAATCAAGGTAAAATATGTTCATTTTGTTGTAGTTAGCTGCCGAGCCAGCGCGTCTTGTTTGAATGATGCGAGTAAACACAGCTGGCAGCCGCGGTGAAACTCGAGCGACTAGAGCGATGTGATAGGAGCGTTAAGAGCAAAGCGAATATTCGCATCGCGTCCGGTGTGAACGCAGCATAAGTGGCTGATAGCATTTAAGCAGTTATCAGTAAAGCAATGGGAATCAGATCTTTCATGAATGTGTGCAAACTGAGTAGGGGGTTCTGGATCAATGGGAGCATGTTTGTGAATGGAGATGGGTCAGCTTCCCACAGCAGAGCATTCAGACCCTTATTCAGCAGCAGTGTCTTTATTCACAGTCGTCAGACATGCATCTGGCTCACCTCAGTACCTTCACAACTGGCTGTGTGTCTCCACAGGGGTCTGCAAGGACCACTCCCAGTTCTAAATGCATTACCATGCTGCTTTGTTCCTCCCATCACAAATGGCCAGCAGAATGCAGACTGAGCCAGAGCTGTACTCAAAAAGGTTTTGAAATGTGTTTCTCAGCAATGAGCTGGGTGGAAACCTTGGAGTTTAAGAATGTTCTAGTTGATATTTGAAAGGCAGAGAGACCTGCAGCATATGCAACTGGAGATAATGACACTAAATGAGTAAACTAGAGTCAGTTTAAATGTACTAACCCACTCACGCAGCAGTCAGACTTTACAACCACCACACACATATAATAACAAAGACTATTACACTCCTGAAATATTTCTTATGTGCAATATACTGTATATATACTGCAAATAAACCCTTCCACCTTCAACAATCTCACCTGGCTGCTATTTCTAAACTGTGAATGGATGTTTATTTTGCATATTGTGTAATTTTTTGTTGTATCTTCAATATGTGTATCCATGCTTCTTAATACATTTTAAGCTGTCTTTGGCTCTTTACTTGCTGTAACAAATGTCAAAATGTCCCCGAATAAAGGTATTCTGATTCTGACCACACAGCGCTGAGTGTGCCCTGTGTGTGTGTGAGAAACATGCGTCCACACTAAAGCATGAAACAATAAGAAGACAGCTTAAAAAGCAGGACAGACTCTAGACTGGAGAAATATGGGCCAGCTTAGAGAGGGTGAACAGAAGGGGTGTGGGGGGCGGGGGGGGGTTGTTGCAGAGGTCCCTCTGCTGGGCTGCCATAGACAGACAGCACAGACTTACAACTTGTTGACAAAAAGTGTAAGTTTGTCGATTGTGTGTATGGCCTGAGCCGGCTGTCCAAGGGATATTCTCACTTTGAAAGAAGAACCATGTTGTTCTGTTAGCATACTCACAGGTTTGGTCTTGTCCCCAAAGAAGTGGATGGCTGAGAAGTCCTCCTCAACAAACCTCAAACAGAATGTCTTATCCCAGCCGTCAGGAAAAACATCAAAGCTGATCTGGCCTCCTGTACGCAGAAAAGGACGAGAGGCAGGAAGGTGGTGACATCACACTGACCCCTGACCTGATGCTCTGTTCCTACAATATAATAGAGCCTTCCAAACCAAAACTGGAACTGCAATTGGACTTGACTCACCGATTGAAAATGACAGTCCTTTTCCTTTGAATTCTTCCTTTAATATTGACACAAACTTCTCTCTGATTTTCTCTTTCTGAAAAAGAGCAGAATGTAAATATAAACACAGCACTAAATATGGAGCCATTTTCTGTCATTTAAATCTTTTTTTTCCTTTTTGAAACGAGGAGTAAAACAAACATCCTAAGATTAAAGAAGAATGCTTATTTCGCAAAGACGGCAACAAAAAAAGTCAGAAGGGACTAAGACACTAAGATAAAGGTGGCTAATGTTTGGCCTGATGCACACAGTCATGTATTCACTTGTTAGAAACCGTCTTTTTGTGACACACAAAAACATAAACCCAGCTTGTGTTAACCACAGACCTTTTTTCAGGTTTGAACAAAAAATACGTTCAAAAATGGTTGCCTTCAAGACGAGGGAACCGGAAAATATAAAATGCTGATTGCAGACTACATTCTAGATACGCAATTCTGCAACACTACATTGCGAGTCATTCTACCTTTAATGTGAAAGATATGGATGAGTGCAGCTGTCAACGATGCATTTATGTGAATGAGTTTGTACCTGATCCAGCTCGTAGAACTCCTTCCTCTCTTCCGGGGTACAGCTGCGCCCAATAGGGGAGACGTTTAACATGCCGTTACGGAATTCAATGAATGTCCCCCTGTGAAACATGCCAAATTACAATAAATGTTTCTTCATTACTTTGAATTATTGTTAACATTGTAATGGTCTGCATGCTTACACAGAAATCGAAAAAACAAGTACATATGGCTAATGAGGTCATGACCGCTGTAGAATAGCTGCCCACTGCTCCTAGTACTAGAATGGGTTAAATGCAGAGGTCAACTTTCACTGTGTGTGCTGTGTGCATGTGTGAAATAAAGAGGGTTTCATCCAGCAATTATAATTATAATCTAAACCAGCTGTATCTGTACCTCTTCTTAGGCAGTTTGATCTTGGCCATGTAGTTGAGACAGAAGTTAATGAAATCCTGGAGCAACTCTTCTCCCATGTGGGCCTGAATAGACTGATAACAGCAAGCAGACACAGTAAACACTTTGCTTTCAGGTGATCTTTTTGTTTACAAAACAAAGGGTAAGGATGGCAAATTAACTTAATATGTCCAACAAAAAGATGACAATACAGGCTTAAAAGCTGTTAATAAAAAAGGTGTGCACACATAACGTCAATCTCACCTGGATACAGAGCAACTGTCCATCCTTATAGGCCACAAGACCATTCTCAGCAAACAAGTAGTCCACTTTCTGGATCACTGCACAATCAAACAGAGAGTCAAACTAACTATAAACTATCAATCTATCTGTCTATCTATCTGATAGATAGACAGATAGATAGACAGATATATATATATATATATA